TAAAAAGATAAAAATGTCTCTAACCCTAATCCTAAATGTTTTGTGTTTTCCCTGTTTCATAGGCTCTGAAGCCAGATGCTACAACGACAATGATGCAGAACTGAATTCTACCGCGTGGTTTGCCAATAACATTGGCAACTTTGTGACGTTTGCCACTGTTGATGATATCAGCAACTTCATCTCCCCCAGTCAAGTATGTCCTGATAATTGTTTTAGTACATTTACTAGTAATGCTTAAACTCAGATAAAGACATTGTTGATATAATTAAACTAGACAACGCTTTCACTTTACTTTTAAATCTACTTTTGTTTCAAAAAGCAAAGGCATTTTGAAGAATAATTTATTAATCAATGTTTTGATATATTTTTCAAGGCTAAAGTTTTCATGGTCGACCAAGCCAACCTGGAGCTCTTTAAAAACGCAGCAATTCCACAAACTGTGATCGACTACTATATCTTGACTCTTTTTGAATTCAACCCCACCTTCAACCCTCTCAAGTGAGTATCCACTTGTTTCCCAAGATATGTTTTTTGAATAGTCCATTATACAGCTAAAATGCATTGCATATAATGTATGTACTGAAAAGACGTTGTGGTAAACATTTAAGCAGGCCCTAAGAATCAGCGTGTTATCTTCTGCCTAGTAACAAGTGGTTAATAACTTTAGAAAACCACCAGCTACTATGGCTTCTGTAAATATTCTTTTTTATTCTTCTTATAGTATTCCAGGTTCTTTCCTGTGCTCTCCTGAGGTCCCAAGTTCAGCATATTCTTCTGCTAGTGAAGCTGACACCATCAAAATATTGAAGGAGCTCGAGAAATCCTGCAATGGAACAGAGGATTCTGAGGTACCAGCTCCAATGATTTCTACAAAAAAACCGAGATGGACTTATGCGTTAAACAAAAAAATCACTTATCACATTGTTTGTCATTTCACAAACCTTTAAAATGCATGAATGGGGCTTTAGTAAAAACAAAACAGGAAAACAGCAAAAAAAGCAAACAGTGACGCAACCTAGTAAGGCTAAACATAACATTGCAATTACCAGGATTGAAAATAAGTTTTAAATTGGGGATTTAGGAAAATGAACTTTACAGTTCCCAAAAAATGCTCCTACTGAGCCAGAAACCTGAATATAAACCACTGTGTTTCTCAGCAAGCACCTAAGAAGCCTGCTAGGAATTTGAGGAACAGTTGAACATTACAATATATACAAAAAAAAACAAAGATATTACATTTCTTAGCGACATGGCGGGGGTGGAACCTTATCAGCTTCCTTTCCAAAGTTTTAATTGCACAATTACAGTATAAAATATAAGTTCTTGATTGTTGTAGAATTTGCTTTTACCCTGAATTTACACCTCTTTATTTTTCTCACACTCCATGTGCTGCAGCACCTCTTTCCACCCTCTGTCTGAAACCAGAGCCCAGTCTGCTCTGATTGGTTAGCTGGCCGCCTCTGTTGTGATTGGTCAACCGCTTAGAGATGTCCCGCCCCTTAGCCTCTCACATACTATGTTATGGCGCATTTCCACTACAGCGTGGAGCGCGGTTTAAGCGTGCCGTGCCCGGCCCGTTTTTTGTTGCGTCTCCACTAGGCGTAGTTCCGGCTAGCGGGTACTTTTTCACAGTTTTTCTGGATCTCCAAAATCGAGGTTCTTTGCGGGCCAACAACCGGGCTGAGTATGCTAAACTCGTGAGAGAATCGCTGGCAACTAGAACAAAATGAACATATCTTACCGTGATTTAATTGTAATACACATTTCAAAATGATGCCGAAGTAACAACATACTGATACCGGTTAGTAAAAAACATGAATTAATGCTTTGATAAGTCTGCAAACAGACGGCAGCCGAATAACCTTTTAAAATGCGTGTTTTTGTGAATGGAGATCGGCTAAGCTAGCGTTGTATACGCTCAGACCGGCCACACTCACAACAACGGCCTATTCAGACATAAATAAACCAGCAACTGTATTCACCATGACACAGACAGTCTGTGGTTTGTACTCGTTTAACTTTTGTCTAGTTTCTAGACTGTCTGTGTCATGGTGAATACAGTTGCTGGTTTATTTATGTCTGAATAGGCCGTTGTTGTGNAAGTGAGATGTCTCACCAGACGGCCCTCCTTGCTATGGTGAAGCGAGAAGAGGTGCTTATTTTGAATGACGCATGCGGCGTAGCGCAAGCTACTTATAGGGGGTAGATTCCCTGACGCTGACGTCAAGATCACCAGCCAATCAGGATTGGCGTAATGAGATTGATGCTTCTGTTTGCTCCGCGATGAGGCGCATCCCATAGTGAGACATCTCACTTCATGTTACTCTGAGAACTGGGGTTACGTAAGTAACCTATAGTTTTTGCTGCTTGATATTAAAATGTTCCATTAATACTCTTGAAGAGAAGTGTGACTGCTATGACATTATTTACATTATTTACAGAGATTGAAGGATAGACGGAATGTGTTGCTAGTTAGTGATATAAGGCACGCACTGCCAACTACTAATCACAATCATTTTTGTTCCAATCATGAAAAGGAGGATTTGGTTGCAAAATAAACATAAAGTCAGTTCCATGAAAATATTCCAGCTCCAGAAAGGATGAATTCGGCCCAAAAAAAGCTATTTTGTTGTCATCAATTCCTGTAATGGCTCATAGCGCCAAAAATATATATTGAAAAAGAAAAATCCGGTTTGTATTATTCAACTTCATGCAACCCTTGAGTCGAAAAGTTTATGTTTTCAATTAATTAGGATTAACAGTGTATTAATGTTCTCATTATTCTGCAAATTGTTAAACAGTGTGACTCCATAGTTGGTTTCAGCACCTCAGTGTAGAGTGAGACAGTGGACAGCTCCGCTAGTTTGCTACGTAGTCTCAACATCTCCAGCTCCACTAATGCTGGACAGCTCCCCGCACAGTGCAAGAGCATACAGTCGGGTGTGAGTGAGTGTGCGAATGTGTGGCCC